GCTCCAGCGCCTGCGCACTGGCGCCCGTCCGCTCCTGGGGCCTGACGTCAGCAGGATGGAGCCGCCCCTTTAGCCTGATCTCCAGGAGCCGCCCCCTCCAGGGACGTCATCACAAACTGGGAGCCCGCTTCTGTGTGACGTCATAAAACCCGATCCGCATCATGACGTCACAATGCCCTAGCCCAGCCCCCTCATTTTCTCCCTCGGCTCCTTCCTCCGCTCCTGTCGGGCGGGGACATCGCGATGAGGCGGGATCGCGGCGCTAAGCCGGCCCTGGGTGGAGCTGGCAAGGTGGAACCAGGTGGGATGGCAGGTGAGAGACGGAGCCAGGCCTGGAGGGGTTGGACCTGGTGAGGGAACCAAGCAAAGGCTGGGGCCGGCAATTCAGGGACATCTGATACCCCGTCCTCTGCGCGGAGCTGTGCCGGGCCCTCCCGGCTGGCAGCCAGACACAGCCTCCCGGGATCGACGCCCAGACTTCGTCCTGCTAAAATGCCTCCTGGTTCCAGCCTCTCCCTCGGGCCGTCGCAGACGGCTCCAACGCTACCTCCAGAGCGGCGAATTCGACCAGTTGCGGGACTTCCCCATCTTTGAGAGCAACTTTGTGCAGGTAGGGAGCCCCAGAACCCCCTCATCCCAAGCCTCAGCCTGTCCCTCGACCTCCTCCTGACTTGGAAAGCCCCTGCTCCCCCGTAACGTCCATCACGTGGGATTCCCGACTCCCAACTCCTACCTGACCTCTGATGCCCCATACCTCTAGTTCTTTAGATTCTTTGTGAACCTCTAACTCCGTTGCCTCAGTTTCCCTAACTTCACACCCATATGATTCTTGACCTTTAATTCCAGGATATCTGGCCCCCAGCCTGATTTTCAACTCACCTGGTTCATGACCTTTTTCCCTACCAAGATTCCTAACTTCTGATCCCTCCCCAGTTCTGCCGCCACATCTATTCTGCCCCTAACCTCTGATCTCTGGCCCCAGGTGACTCGGTTGGGAGAAGTTGCCAATGAGGTCACCATGGGGGTGGCAGCCTCCAGTCCAGCCCTGGAGCTCCCGGACCTATTGCTTCTGGCCGGCCCTGACAAGGAGAATGGACACCTGCAACTCTTCGGGTAACTGCCTCCACCTCAGCCGAGACCCCCTCCTCCCTCAGCTCCAGGCACCTGAGCCCCCAGCAGTACCTCCCCTCACCCAGACCACCCCCAGGGCCAGGAGCTGGCAGTGCTACCGGCCCTCCCTGAGCTGCCGTCTACATGGGAGAAGATGGACAGAGCAGCCCTCAGGGGCCAGAAATCAGGGACTAGACAGACCTGAAGGGGACAGTCCTCAGCCATGCCCCAGCAGGGGTCAGGAGAATGACCATTTCCACAGGGCCTGCTCATGCCAGATGCCCCTGGGCCGTGCATGAGATCTCACCTCTGACCTCATATCTTCACATGGTGGGGTCCCTTAGCCCCATCCTCCAAAGAGCTAAACTGAGGCTCAGAGAGCTGGGAGCCATTTGCCCAGGGTCCCACTGTGGCTCCAGAGTGGGCCAGGATTGGAACGCCAAGCTTGTCACGATTGCGGATCTCACGGTTCTTGAGCCCTCCTGTGCCTCACTCCATACTCTCTTCTACGTCGTATTTTTTCATTGAAAAAGTAATGCAGGCCGGGCGC